AGCCTTACATTTTCGGGCTCTTACAATTAACACTTATCTCTAAAAAATATAACTTTAAAATAATAAATTTATAAATTTTTTATAAAGTATGTAATTTTCTTGATAAAATTTATATTTGGATTTTCAACCGTGTTTCTAATAATTTTATATTTAAAACATTAAAAATATATTTAAGAGATATATGAAAATTACTTTATATATATATATATATATATATATATGAATTAAAACAGTATAAAGTATTAAATATATTTTAATTTATTATGTTTTGTTCCTATTAAATTAAATTTAAAATGATAGAGGAGTATTACATATTAATTTATTGTAGCAGTGGGAAATAAGTCTTTCACGTTTTAAGTTCAACGGTAAAAATCAATGTTAAAAATTATCAACAATTTAAACATTGGAATTTTTACTTTTTCCATGTCATATGTTCATTATATGTCAAAATTATCAATTTCTGATATTACATTGGATAAATTTCATAAAATGTTTGGCGCGAAAGTAAAAATTCTCACGTAAGATGTTGAAATTTGGAGTTTTCAAAAGTCATATATATTGTAATTATGTTTTAAAAGCAGTGTTACCATACGGTTTCTTCGCGTTTTCTCTTCTATTTGAACTAGGGTTTTTGTTCACGAGTGCGAGAAAGAACAATAAGTTTTGTGTATTTTTCCTTAACGTAAAGGACTTTCGTGGTCTTTGTTTGAATATTTCTTTAATTTTTTTCAATTGATATTTCTTTTCTGTTTAACATTAAGGTCTTGAATGTAAGTTCAAATTTCACCTTCGTTCATGAGTGCAAGAAAGAATAAATGTTAGTTTTGTGTCATTTACCTTAAGTGTATGTGTTTCTGCTACCTTGATTGTCATTTTGCTTATGTTTTGATGAATTTATTTTGTGTTTTTGTGCTCTATTAAAGCTCCACCACAGCTAACAACATTGAAAAGTTCTCCACCCTCCATTTCTGTTAACGACTCTCCTCTATCCAAGTTAGTTTATTGGTTTTGATATACATTAATTATAATATAATGAATGATTATTTTATTAATGACTTTAGTTTTACTTATTGTACTTTGATATTGTTTCTTGTAAGTGTCATTCATTTATGTGTTAGTATCACCAATGTCATTCTTTTCTCGCTCTCCAAAAATCCCTTGGGACTCCTCCATGAATACCTAAAGATGGAGACAATTTGAATATATTCAAACAACTCCCTGCATAATATTATGATCACCTTCACATTTAGGTCATTTATTATAAGGTGCTATAAAAATTAAACTAAATTTCCTCACCTATCAAGACTTGTTTATTATTGAAGCGTAAGTGTCCTACTCTCTTGTAAGCTAAATTTGTACACTTAATATTTTTATTAATTATTTGAACATATCTTTATATTCTTAGACTAACCAATATTCATCTCTCCTATGTGCCAAACTCCTATTTTCTATGCATGTAAAACTTTTCCAAAACCGTTTCCAAAATATGATTAAGGAGAAACTTACTTAAACAAAATCTGATTTCACATTTCTTTATTTCATCAAGATTACTAAGGCGAATTCTTATCTACAGTAAATTCTTTATAAATCTATAAGGAAAACAAAGAAAGTAAAAAGGAAGAGTTTTTAAAGAAATGATGATTTTTATAAAATAAAATTTTAATAATTATTTTTGTCTTTTTAAAAGTTTTTATAATTATATAATAAGATGTGTTCATACCTCATTTCAATTGTCCCATTTCAACTTTGAATAATAATTATATCCTTTTTCTTATTCCATTTTGAAATATTTAATACATGATAAAATAGAAATACAAATCATAGATAAATCTATAAAAAAGATATTGGTAAATTTTATATATAAAGAAAACATTTAATCACTTTATGTATAAATATAAATCAATAAATAATTACCTACTTTTCATGTTTTGATCAAATAACATAAATATGTTGTGTTATATTTTATGTAAAGAAAAATAATTAATTTATATATAATTATAATTCGAAGAACAAGGCAATGAATATTATAATAATTTATCGTATTTTATGTTTATTCAATTCAATAAAGAATGTTCTGTATTATATAAGGAAAACATGTAATTAATTTCTATACAAGTATAATTTGTGCACAATAAAAGACACTTTTAATATATTACTAAGCTTAGTTACATTTTTATTTATTAAATACAGTTATTAATATTATAGAAGAAAAATAATTAATTTATATATAAGTATTATCAATGCAAAACAAATAACAATAAACTCGACATCAGCGTTTTACTCAAACATGCATTGCAAATATGCATTACTTTCTTTTGTATTTAAATATAAATAAAATACTTAATCGCATTCTGGAGGTTAATTCATTGGGTTTTTTTAATTTTATTTTATGCAACTATATTTCCTAAATTAATTGGTAATATTCAATAGAAATTATGCTCATTTTAAATAAATTTGAGGATGTTTTCATAATCATGAAATTAAATATGTTGAAATTCGTTTATATTTCTATTCTCTTAATTTTTTAGCTAAGATAAAGTATACATTTTTCATATTCTTTTTGCTATTTTGTTGTATCATGTGCTGTAATCCAATCTCCCGTGAATTTGTTTTCTTTCTCCTTTATTATTTTCTACATGCTTTTACGAAATCTTAGAAAATATATGTATTTTTTTTTAAGGAATTCGAGTTCTAAACAGAAGGCTATTAAACCAATATATTAATGATTATATATTTTTGATTGGATAGTGAAAATTAAAATTAGTTTTCTTTCAAAATTTTGGACTAACTTAAATGCATTAATTTAGTTTTTTTAATCAAATTTTATTAAGTTTATTTGAAATTTCAAATGCATCTAACATCGCAACAAAAATGTGTTAAATGTTATAAACAACTCAAATATTATCATTAAACACATTTGAAACCACTATAATAGCGAAGGATTACGACAATGGTTGTTTTCGACATTTGACAGCGATTTTCGAACCGAGGTATATTCAGACAAGATAAAAAATGAAGATTTTTTGGCCTCAGTTAACAACCGAAGCAAAAAAGAGTCATGATTTTGCCTCGGTTCAAAAGAATTGAAGCAGTAAACCCAAAAAAAAACAAAAATTGGACTTTTGGCAGCGGTTCTCTTAGGAATTGCTCTCATAGACCCTTAAATGAAAAAAAAAAATCGCAGATCTTTAAACGACTATAACATTTGTTCCTATTGTCTGATTTTGGCCATATTATGTATCAATGTGGGATACAAAAAAAAAAATTCAACACCGTTGTAGCCCGCTACGCCCGTTGTTCCTTCTATCTTTTTTTAAAAAGAGTTGCTTTCTATTTTTCGTCAATTTATTTTGTTTTTTTTATTTTGTAAAAATATTTCATATACTTACGCTTTGAATTTTAATCCAAAATTTTTTGTGTAAGTTTTTCATGGTATTTTGGTGCTTTGAATAAATTTTCAGGTCATTTGGAGTTCTTTTGAATATATTCTTAGTTTTACCCTATGATGTATGAACAACTAATGAGCTCAAAAAAACGAAAACGAAAATTCATCAAAACTCAAAACGAAACTAACCATGAAGGTGGCTTCAGTGCTGAAATAAATTGTTGCGTTAGTGAGGGAAAAAGGTAATTAGTCAAAACGAAAGAATACATGTACATGAATCCAATCGGTCAAAACGAAAGAAAATCATCACTAAAATAGTTAATCAATGATATACAAATGAAAGAAAAATTATCAGTGTTGGTCGCTAAAACTTTGTCGTATAAGGGCTTGAGGAGAGAAGAAGAAGAAGCAAAGAGAAAGTGAAGAAGAAATGTGCAAGGGAAAACTCTGTTATTTCACGAAATATAACCCTAGTAACACATATTACCTATGTTATTCTATTAAGCGAAGCAATAAGAGCTCTATCGCCTCAGTTATACTAAGAATAACTGCCTAAAGCCTTTCAAAAATAATAAAAATAATATTTTGAGTGAAAATTTTGAATTTTTTTTCAAACTTTATGTCTCAGTTTGCAGTACAATTGAAGCATAAATAGTCTATGGCACCAGTTTTCAAAACAATTGAGGCCATAGAGTTGTCCATAAGACTGCCAATTGAAAAGACAATATGCAACATCATGATCCTACGACAGTGGTTTTGCAGAGAACTGAAGCCATTGTAATTTTCATAAAGCTTGTTAGTTCAAAAGTTAGCTTGCAATGGGAATGTTAGGACCCTATGGTAGCAGTTTTGTAGATAACTGAGGCCAAAAGTCCTATCCAGAAAGCTTGTCAGTTGAAAAGTCTCAAATTTTCAGTTTTGTAGAATCCTATGATAATAGTTTTGTAGAGAACTGAGACTATAAGTCCTGTACATAAAGCTTGTCAATTGAAAGTCTTCAATTGTTAGTTTCGCAAGATCTGTGACAATGGGTGTAAAAACAACTATGGTTTCAGGTATTTTAACTAAGACCTATATGTTCACAAAATTTGTAAAAATGTCACTTTACCTTTTTATGTTTCAGTTTCGTGAAAACTGAAATTATAATGCTTTTTTTTATTAATGAACGTCAAATAAATTTAATAAAATTTTGTTTAAAAAAGTAAATTTGCATATTTTATATGTTGAGAGATTAAATTGAATCAAAATTTTAAAAAGGGACTAATTTCAATTTCTATAAAAAAATATATTTAATTCAAAAATTTAAAAAATAAACAGTCATTTATTTCATAATTAAATGTTGTATATGTCTATTAATTGTAGTCTAAAACCTTGTTGTCATTTTGCTCCTTTATGTGCATGCAAAGTTAATCCTTTCTCTTTTTACACTTTTCTCTATATTTATTTATTTTATTTTTTATTTATGGTAAATTTTGATAAAGTTAATCACAGAGATTATGTTTCAACTTAATTAATTTTTTTATTAAATTATATATATATATATATATATATATATATATTCTTCCTTCAAATATATGTTAGTTTCTATAAACTTTTAAAAGGTTTTGAGGGAAAGATGGCTCTTGGGACTCTTGAAGTTATTCTAATAAGTGCAAAAGGCCTTCACAACAGTGATTTTTTCGGTAAGTAATGCAAATTCAAACCCTACTTTTGGTCTAGAAATTTTTATTTCTTATAAATTTGTTGTCTAAAAGTATTTCTTGAATTCAGTGTGGGTCTTTTCTTAATTTTTTATTTTATTTCTGCAGTTAAACTTTTATTTTAAGAATTCAATATAGCCAAAGATTATCAGTTCTATGTATATTTTTTATGAGCAGGGAAAATGGATCCTTATGTGATTCTCACTTATCGCAATCAGGAGCACCGAAGCACTGTGGCTAAAGGTGTACATTATTTTGCTTTCTTCAATGTTATTTTCTCAGTTTTGGCTTTGATGTATATTTTTGAACAATTGTGTAAAACTAACACCAATCATAAATAAGATGAAAAAAATATAGGATGATAGAAGATGAGTTGAAATGGTTGATTATTAGATTTTTTTAACAGATTAATTAGAAACGGATTAATTAATGTATGCGTTATAGGTGCAGGATCTAACCCCCATTGGAATGAAAGCTTTCTTTTCACTGTTTGTGACAGTGTCTCTGAACTTAATCTGAGGCTAATGGACAAGGATACGTTAACTAGTGATGATTTCCTTGGTGAGACAAGGTTAGTAAAAATTCTTCTTACCATAGTAACAAGTTATAATATTTATTTCTGATTGGAATATGGAATGTACAACGAGAGTAAAAATGTTTGTAATATATTCATTGGATTAAGTATATTTTACAAATTCTAATTGATTTTCTCATTTTTTTTATTGTTCTTTGATAATATATGGAATACATATTTTTGTTATTAAACTATATTAAATTTTCTCTGAGCTGTGTAATCATAATGCAAAGTGAATCAAAGAAATCTGCAAATATAACTATCACTTTAAAAGAATTAAAGCTCATGGTCATGGTAACTATGGTAGAGAGGTCTGACGGCATTGCTAGATGTCAACTACCCCTCCTAAGGGGAAGACCCCGTTCCACATTGCGGTGGAGATGGTGTTGTCGGACATGGTGGCTGTGCTGCTGTGAAAACTGATGATGATGGGGTCACACCTTTGGACATCCTAAGAACCGTAAGCTAGGATTTTCTCTTTAAGGATGCTGTCCTAGGATTGACCCACATCAAATCCAACAAACTGGGCTGTATTTGGAGCTTGTTCAATCCGTATCTGTCTTGGCTCTCTGCTATTTTGTTGAGTTTTTTTCTCTTTATTTTTCTTTATTTTTGTTTTATTTTTCTTGAAACCAAAGGGTGCATGAGGAGATGCAGGTCTATCTTTTCAAATCCTCCTTCACCTGCATTTCTCCACTCCAAAAAGAAAAAAAAAGAAACAAAATATAAAAGAAAATAAAAAATAAAAAAATTATTATGTTTAAATATTAGTCAGTGTGTACTTTTTAATTCGAGTGAACATTATTATTACATATCTATAAAAACTTAACATCATTTAATAAAAAGATCTGTTTAATGTGTTATTAAAGTATAAAATATTTTTTTATGAACGTTTTAGAACAGATAAATTATAAATCTGTATATAAATTCAGAAAAATATATTTAATTTTATATTTATTTTATTATTCAATATAGTTTTATTTCAATAAAATAAAATCTTAAAGTATATTGTATAACATCTTGTTTGTTCTATTATTTTTATTTTGAAACAAGACTATAAACCCTCAGATACTACTTTTTATAGAAGAGATAGTGAGTTTTGAACACAGAAATAGATATTTCTAGATATAGGGACTAAAAGTGCAGTGACATATATGTATGCAGAATTAATCTGGAAGGTGTCTTTAATGTGGGGAACATTCCAGAAACTACTTACAATGTTGTGAAGGACCAAAACTATTGTGGGGAGCTCAAAGTGGCACTCACCTTTAATCCTGAGGTAAATTTATCGTTTATTTTAAGAGCTTCTTTACCTGCACTCTTCACAAAAATGGTTAAATTAATGGTTTTTCCAATTTATTCATTTTGTAATTTCTGGTTGCAGAGATGCTACTGAGAAGAATTAAGTGCATGAAGGATTCAGGAAATTACTACCATATGCTGAAGTAACATCTTTTCTTTTCCCATAATAAAGTTGTTCAAATTTACATTTATAATTGGCTTTCTGTTATGTTTTGTATTTTCAACTCAAATTCACCTCCCTTTAATTCAAATTAAACTTTGTTAGAAATCATAGCAATATTAAAATAATAAAGATTTCACCTAAAAACACATTCATAGATAAAAATATAATCAAATTTCGTCGTAATAAATGCTAGATGAAGGATAATTAACAACCTCTGAGAAGTTGATGAGATGATCAACCTCAACTTATAATGTTGGTTGGTGCTTCTCACCAACAAACAATCAATACTAATAAATAATATGATTAAGATGTGTATTATCTTTAAGATGTATTGCATCTACAAACATAAAAAAAAGTGTAAGTAATATTAATTCAAACTCTTTTAAAAAGACTATAATACATGTATTAAATTTTATTTATAATTACAAATATTTAAAGATTAAATCAATCAAAACTAAATTTGAATATATACTGTATGTTTACGTGATCATATTCACATGATAAAATATATAGTCGTGGTCGAAATGTTAAGTTATTACAATATTAACATTAATATTAATTAACTTAAAATAATCAATATGATTACCATTAATATGATCATAATTAAGTTACTATTAATAAAAAATTTATTCAAAAAAAATTATAAATACAAATTTGAATCATAATTAAGCTATAATTAATCAAAAGTTTCTCTGAAAATTTAAGATAAAAACACATGTGATTATATTTATTATACATTAAAATATTGTAACGGATTATATCGGAATACTTTTTACAGCAGTTAATCTACAATTTAACTGATCGGAGATTCAAGACGAATAATAACAAAGACTCGGACCTAGACGGAAAGATACACATAATATAGTTACATATCATTATTTTCTTTTATATATGTTTTAATTTAAAGTCTTACGTTAAGTATTTAATTTAAGTGTGGTCCTAAAAATAGTTTTTCCCTACAAAAAAAAATTGTAAGGTCTACTGAAACAAATATTAAGTTAGGTGATTGAACAACAGCGTGTCGGGGTAAAAATTTGTCAAAGGTCAACGGACTAACACTGACTTCTAACAACAATGAGGGACAAGGTTCAATGATCCAAAAATAATATTAATAATTGCTAAATATTCTCTGAGGATCAAAATAAAATAATCATGACTCATTAAAACCCAATAATTGGATTAAAATTAAGTTTCAAATGTAACAATTATAATTGTAAGAGCCCACACTAACTATAAATGGGACATTGCATTTCTTCTTTACCTTCTTTTGGCATCACTGTGAAAGAATTTAAAATGTTTGAGTGGAACCTTTCAAATTACATAATACAAAAAATTATTTGGATAGCAAGATTTAGAATTTAAAAAACATTTTTCAAATTACATAATACAAAAAATTATTTGGATAGCAAGATTTAGAATTTAAAAAACATTTTTCAAATTACATAATACAAAAATATATTCTGTAAAATTCGAAATATATTTTTTAATTTAAAAAAGTATTTTGGATAATTTACATTAAAATGTATTTTCAAATTACATAGTCTAAAAATAGATTTTCAATTATACAATTTAAAATATATATTTTTCATTTTTTAATTGTATAATTTAAAATATATATTTTTCAAATTGTAAAAGTCTAAAAATGAATTTTTCAGGTGAAAACACATTCATAAATAAAAGTATAATCCAATTTGGTTAATGCTCGTAATAAATGCTAGATGAAGGATAATTAAAAACTTCTAAGAAGTTAACATCAACTTATAATGTTGGTGCTTCTCAACAATAAACAATCAATCCTAACAAATATTATGATTAAGATGTGTACCATCTTTAAGATGTATTGCATGTATAAATATAAAAAAAAATGTGTAAGTAATATTAATTCAAACTCTTTTAGGAAGACTGTAATACTTGCGTTAAATTTCATTTATAATTATAAACAATCTGAAGACTAAATCAGTTATAATTAAATTTGTATTGCATAGCTATATGATCATATATTTATAGAATGGATCTATATTTATCGTATGACTGGCCGAGTGTAACATCCCAAAATCTCACACTTGATAATTCATAATTTATATATTGTAGCATTATATTTAAGGTAATATCTCATAATCTTACATTTGAAAATTCATAGTTGATATATATCTATATGTTTTAAACTCAGATTTTAACTACAAATTCATAAATATAACTCGAATTCTTCTACTTTATTCTTCTATGTCTCCTTTCATTGGCACTGAATCAGACGACGTTCCTTCATATGCTCCCGTATAACGAATTATAAGATCATCGCACATACCCAAACACAAACACAAACAAGTAGGGTGAGCTAACATGCAACCAATCATTTATAAAACATGCATAATTACTTTGATGCACTCAACAAACCTCATATAATAATTATGTCAGACACCCTCATACCATCATACAATCGCATCATAGATACTCATACCATCATACAACAATCTCATCATAGATACTCATACCACAATACCACAATTACTAATAGACACTCATCCCACAATACCCAATAGACACTCATTTCCACAATACTCAATAGACACTTATTCCAATGATATGTTGATGGGCGGTCACGGGAGGTTATGCACTTGTGATGACTTCTACTTCTTCTTACAAATACACTTCCAAAATACTCCATATCATCCACAAGGTTAGTCCTCAACACTATGTCCAAAACCAGCACATAGACCAGGACCTCCTGCCCTCTATACCATCACAAGGTTAGTCCTCAACACTATGTCCAAAACCGGCACATAGACCAGGACCTCCTGCCCTCCATACCATCCACAAGGTTAGTCCTCAACACTATGTCCAAAACCGGCACATAGACCAGGACCTCCTGCCCTCCATACCATCCACAAGGTTAGTCCTCAACACTATGTCCAAAACCGGCACATAGACCAGGACCTCCTGCCCCTCTCACCACATAATTCATCATTCTCTACTTGAGACTGGATGATTATTAGAGTATCAAGATAACCTCCAACATCAGGACCCTCAACATCAACATATACACACATACCATGGCATTACAGAATCTCTCCGCGAGACTCATACCATGCTCACATTCCTCAACTCATATTATACCCTTACGAAATCTTCCCATAATACTCATACCATGTTTAGATACATAAATTTAAATCCAATATAATAAATTACAATCATCACAGAAATCATACAAAATGAATATATCACAAAATAAATTAACAATACTAAAATATCACCATAAATGGTCACCGTAGAAGAATCAAATGTTTGACGAATCAAACTCACCATAAACGCCAGTACATATGACTAGTCACAGCTTACTGGATTTGACCAGGGCTGCTCTATGATCAGGGATGTACCAACTCCGGTTTTTAAGATTCCTCTATCCTACCATCACAATTATAATTCATAATTCCATATTTACCGCAATAACATGAATTCATCAGACATTTTCATTCCAACGAGATATATTGCACAATAATTTAACAGTACATAATCTGTTCAACAAAATTTAAGTTAAAAACTTATCGAGTAGACTTCCAGGAAAGAGAGGTGCGTCACAATGGACAACTTAAGTACCAAGTCTTTCCTTAGCCAAAGTGTTCCTCAACTAGTTTTAACAAATTTCTTATTTATAGATTCAAAACAACATTATATAATATTAGCACAGAAATTCACTATAGATAGATATACAGTAAACACCTATGTTTTTCATTAACAGTATTCACATAGAATTTCAAGACATGAATAGTAATAAAACAATACTAAATCATAATATAAAAGCTTAGAAAGGTTAGCTCCCCTACCTCTATTCCGAATTTGTTTCTCCGAAAACCCTCTAGAACCTCTACTCTTCTTGCAACTAAAAATTTCTTCCTAACTCTTTCTTCTCTATTTCTCAAGCTCTCACTTGATTCTTCCTCTCTTTGTGCAAAATAGTCTCCCCTCTCATGCTATTTATAATCCAAAAATTTTACTATTCACAATTTTTTTAATATTATTTATTATTTTAATATTATTTTATTATATTAATATCTTAATCACCACTTACATAATGGATCCCTCAATAATGCCTTAAAATCTGAAGTGTTTTATCCACTATCAATATTTTAATTTTTTTTTTAATTTTAGTTTTTTTTTTTTACAAAAAGGTAGAAAAGAGCTTGAACTGTTGTTCTTGAAATCACCACAATTTTCCACCATTTAAGCTACCAAAATTTCTATATTTAACTTATTAATTATATTTTCCATTCACAAAGAAATTTATTACTGATAGTAATAAAATTGTTACAATTAAGGTAAATATTTTCATGATCTTACATTTCATGTGACACCGGGCACTGGCGAGGCGGGGAGTGGTCACCGGTGCAAGAGGCACGAAGTGCAAGGGGAACAAACAAGGAACGACTCCTAGCAGGTTTCCAGTGGAAGAGACACATGAATGAATCGAACATACACCGGAAAGAGAGGGATCTAGAGACTGTATAGGTATGAGACTATACAATTGAAGGATAGCTTAAAGGGATTGATTAGACTGCTTATATCACCAAATGCATTTGTTTTTCGGTAGCCTAACTCATAAGAACTCCATAAGTTGTCGGGACGGACTTTTATTAGTAATTAGGATACAATTAGACCATCATTAATAAAAATTTATTTTAAAAATTATGAATACAATTTTTGGGTAAAAATATAGATAATTCTAATTATTACAATTAACTATTGTAATTGTCCAATAATCATTTACTTTGGTATCAAAATACCTTTATGTAAATAAACTTCAATCTAACTGAAAAATTGAAGACGAACAATAATGGAAACTCGGACTTTAGATGGAAAAACACACATAATACACATAACGTCAATTTCATAAACAAAAATTAATTTCTTGTATATATTTTAATTTAAAATTTTAC